ATTTAAATATCCTCTTTGCTTTCTTAAAAAAAACAAACCACGACAATAAATAAATTTAAAATTAAGTGGCAAAACTCCTTTGCGGCGGTTGCAGGGGCCAATCAGCACTATGCACTGTCAGCCGCCTCTGCTGAGCTACATAGGGCCCCAACCCGATTCATCAGAGATGGTTTTACATCTTTTAAGGGTCAGATTTTGTGCCCTGTCATCCTGATCTCCTGAACGTGACAAGCTGGCACAGTACAGCCTCCGGCTGTGCCCTTTCCTCTTCCTGTCTGGCTTTTCGGATCAGGAGTTTTTTTGTTTTCTGCTGACTCTCCTAGACACAACCGACCATTCCTTTGCCTGCGTTCTAATTGTTCACCTGACTTCCAAAACCAGCGTAAACCTCTCCCCCTCAGGGCAGATTTCGTGGAAGTCAAGGCAGCTGCTTCGGAGATGGCTTTCACCTTTGCAAGGCCAGCCGGCTGATTATGCTGCAGAATGCGGGACAAGTACAGGCAAACTCTCCTCGGACGCGTCATGCGCCCTGTGGCAAAATCCACCGGCCATTTCCACTCTGGCTTTTTCCTAGGGTTAGGGCGGGAGCGGGGGAGAGCTTTCTGTAGGAGAGAAACAACATAGCATATATATATATATATATATATATATATATATATATATATATATCATGCCTTCCCTCCCAAAGGAGCCCAGGAGTTGAGAGCTAGTCAGCTTTATGGAAAACATGACCCTTCTTTCCCAAGCCAGGCTGCAACAGGACGGGTTAGGTGAAATTTGCTTGTGCGCCCCTTGAAGCAATGGCATGGGGTTCGCTCGCTGGATGTTCAAATTGGATCTGTGGTGTCCTGAAAAGAAGAAAAATAGATTCCTGCTGGGTCTTTTCATGGTCCACATAGTTCCACATGCGGCCTGCCCAAAGTGAAGAGCCAAATGCCATGATGGGAACCCCACAAGGAGCACATTGGAGACAAGTGCTGTTATTATGACGCTTATTTTACTATTAGGCTGTCTGTCATTATGGGGTGGTTTTTTTTGCAAGGTGGTCCCAACGCCACTCTCATTACACGGAAATCACTTGGAAGATACCTGTGCCTTTTGCCTCATAACTTTCTCTCTAAGAGAGCTAGAGACTTGATTTAAAAAGGAGGGGAAGAGTCTGCAGTGCCAGTGAAAACCACCAAGGGTTCCATGTAGGCAACACATGCATCGAAGTGGGCTGTGGCATGTTTTGGATCGCAAGGATTCAATCCCCACAACGTGTCCACCAGATAGGACTGGAAAAAACTTAAATCCTGGGAAACTGCCGCTGGTCATTGTAGAAGAGGAATTGTCAACGTGATACCTATGAGCACCAGTGCTCAAAAGCACCTCCTGTGGCACTGTGAATATTCCCTGAAATGGGATACAGTCATACCTCGGATTACAGATGCTTCGAGTTGTGCAATTTCAGGTTGTGCCAAACCCGGAAGTACTGGAACAGGTAACTTCCGGGTTTCGGCGCTTGCGCAGAAGCACTAAATCGCACTTTGCGCATGCACAGAAGCGCCGAATCGCGACCCACGCGTGCGCAGACGCGCCACCGCGGGATGTGAGCGCTGCAGGTTGTGAACGTGCTTCCCGCACGGATCACGTTTGCAATGCGAGCGTCCACTGTACTTCATAAACAAATTCCTGCTCAGTTCGTATGCATTGGCTCAGCTTCTCTTGCACTGAACACCCCACACCTAAACATGTCCACATTTCATTGGAGGTCAGGGTTGGGTACTCAGCTTCCCATCTTTTCTGAATGGAGGAGAGGTGTAAAGAGCTTCTCTCTATGAGTGTGCCATTTTGGAGCCATTTTGTGCTATGCCGTGCCCCACCCCCTCAGGCAGCCATTTTGTGACCGGCCTGCAAGACAATTCCAATGTACCCACTGGTCCAAAAAGGTTGGCGATCCCGGCTGTAGACAGTGCTGGACTAGGCAGGCCAATATGGTCTCTCTCAATTAAAGGCAGCTTACTTTATTCCTCTAATTAAAGAAAGGAAAAAGGAAATCAGAAATGCACCTATTTACCACAATTGAATCACCACATTGTTTGATACAATAAAGTAGCTAAATAAAAATAAGTATTCAAGGGGGGCAAGTATTCAGGGTTAAGTGATATGTGCACATTAATCTGCAATGACCATTTCAGCTTGTCACTTGCATTCATTTATATTATGATTTTAAAATTATGAAGTTACTTCTGTTAAGTTGTGGGTGAACATATCAGACGACACAGCGATTCTTCAAACAGCTCTTGTTTATTCACAGGCCAGAACTGAACTGAACTGAAGGGTTCAGCCAGCTTGCTTATATAGAGTTCCACTAGAACGCAACAGTAACAACTTTCTGTAACTATCCAATCACTGAATGTCACTTTCGATCCATTATTTGCATATGTGGACCTGAGTGAAAACTATCTACAGTATCCCCCTGCTGGCCCAGGGTGAGAACCTCAGTACATAACAACTTCTTTTTAAAGCGAGCTGAATAACTTGCACATGCTCTCTAGTGCCTTTGGAGTGGTAAACCGCTGCTTGTGGGATATCAAATTTGAAATCCCCGCTCTCTGTCACAAAACGCACTTTGTTAATCACCCTATGATCCATGAGTGCTGTAGGAACTCCGAAAGGTCTTGTAGCTGTACCCACCTGCTTGTGAGGTAAAACCATCTGTTTATCTACAGACACACACCGGATCTAGCTGTGCCATCCACGTCATGTTACGCGCAGAGAGCAAAAGCTATGGAAGTGTGCTTGTGGGGCAAGCAGCTACAGATTGCTCTTGCAAGGGAGCCAAGCCGAAAACTTAAGGAAAGGGAGTCACTCTTAATGCACACATATGGCTGCTACTGGTGATGAGCCGTCAGTCCTCAGATATGGCAATCAATCAATCAATATCAATCAATCTTGATTGATTTGGCAATAAACAAAGCTCAGGTCGTGAGCAGAACCCCATCCACCAAGAGACATTTCATATGTAATGAATCTACCGTTATATTACAGTATGAGCACTGTAACACCTGCCTTAGTGTCAATGTTTTATTTATTTAAAGGGTTCGATGGCTTATCTTTCCTAGCAATTTTGATGTGCAAGGCAGCTAGCAACAGATACAGCGAAACAATTATTTGAGAATAACTGTTGCAAGTGAAGAGTGAAGTGGCCTCCCCAAAATAAATGCACCGGCTTTCAGCTTTTGGATAAAACCTCCAACCAGCTTTCAAATCCTCCCCAGATGGCCAAATTTGCTGGGAAGCAAGCAGAGATTGGGCTAGGCAGGCTCACTCAGGGAGCAGCTCCTGCAGCTGAAGTGTGGCTCCTGAAAAAGGAAGACATGGAGCAAGGCATTAGATTTCAGATCACACGCATGGATTGACCTAACATGGTCTAAGAAGCCACAACATGCCCTCATGTCTCTGTGTGGGCTGTGAGCGGTGTGTGTGTGTGTGTGTGTGTGTCCACAGATATTATAATTCAGGGCCCATTCTGTGTGTTAGGAAGAAGGAAGAAGTTGGCTGAGATGGTAAGATTCTGCACTGGACAACTTAAAAATTCAGGTGAGGGCAGTGTCATATTTTTGAATTTTCTCCCTCATTTAAATCTTTCCGCTGGCATGAAAAAACCACCACAGGCTGCCAGAGAGAAATGTGAGCATAATTCTCTCTCTGATACGCTTGTTTACTACTCCCAGGGTGTCGCTGTTTAAAGCCAGGAAGCATTCAGAAAACATCTTCTCTCTCCTGCAATGTGAAGTGGTGCTGTCCAGAATTGTACCACTTTAGCCTGCCAAGTCAGTGTAATTGTACAGAACACTCCTCCGGTGAATTTATAAGGCAGGTCCATATTGTGTACCCGTTTGACACACAACACCCAAAGTTCTTGCTCATATGAATCGTTTTGGGCATTTTCCATGCGCTCAATTTTTAACATGAAACTGCACCGGCTGTTGGCGTCCATCCCCTTCAAAACACCTCTGCCTCCCTCTTTCTTGCTCGCACCTTAACAACATTCAGACGTGCACGCAAAGGGGGAGGAAGTTTCTGACATCAAGTGTACAAAAATCCCCACACACAACCCCTCCAAAAAATCTTTTGCTCTGGGCAAAATGCCATGCCGCTCGTAGTCGTGGGATAAGCCTCTGTGAAGGAGACGAGAATCTCTCCTCACCCCAGTGAACTGCTCTTCTCAGACTCAAAAGTGCCCTGCGAAGAATGTGAGCGAAAGCTGAATTTCAACCAGACCTGAGCCCTTGAGCTAGGGTGGGAAAGACGTCTAAATAAAATAGGAATGTGTCACTCGGTGCCTAGTTAACGTGGACCTGCACATCGCGAGCTGCACTGAATTTTGCTTTTTGCCATGTAGCTGCATCTAGTGCATTTTTCCTGCACTGAAACGAAATTCAGAATCCGGCTACTCCCTCCCCCTTCCCGCCCCCCCTCCTTACCTTCCAAGAGGCTTGCCTTATCGTGTCACACCAGATGGGCCATGCAATGCACATCCCTGGGAGATTTTTTTATATATATATATATATATATATATATATATATATATATATATATATAAAGAAGAAATCTTGTTAGCCTGGAAAACTGTCTTTCAAGGTTTGTCTGTTCCCTTCCCTTGGCAAGCGGTAGGAATAAAGTTGCAAAAGCAAGGGGGGGTTAAGAGAGAGAGAAAGAGAGAAGAGAGAGAGAGAAGAGAGAGAGAAAGAGAGATGTTGGAATGATTGACAGCTCTGAACTATAGGCTCATCCCTTACCTTAGGCCATGCAATCCGATTGGCTGTCTCCTGACATCCCCAAAGCCCAGCACTTTTTAATAGAAGCTTTGGGTAGATCGTCGGGGGTGGGTGGGGGAATAGGTTCAGTGAGGTGCATTTCTGACAAGGCATAAAGTCATTTTCCCCCACTTTGGGAAGACTTTTCCCTGGGCTGCTTTTGGTGGGGGTGGGTGGGTGGGGGTAGAAAGGGCCTGGGTTTTTTTGATTTACTTGTTTTTACTTAAATGTTTTTCTGCAAACTTCGGGGAGAGCGGTCTTCTCCTCAGCACCAAGCCTGGACTAATGGATTACCACGTGCTCGGATTAATTTTAGCTTTCCTCCTCGGTGATGCCAACGTTTTAGCCGGTTATCCCATTTGGTGGTAAGGCTTAACTTTCCCCCTCGCCTCAAACTTTTGGCAGCTTGTTTTTCCCATCTGCATCCTGTCTCTGCACATCCTCAATTCTCTCTCTTAGTGCCCTGCTTTCATTCACACGTTTCTATTCTCCCACTTTTGCTACTGTTAATGCAAGGTTTCTTGCTTTGGAAGGGTGACATGCTTCTTAATAATTTTTTGCATTGATAGTTTGATAGTTCGCCTCCCAGCCTCAGCCCTCAGTAGCTTCATATAACGCCTCTGAATGTAATTTTTAGGCAGCGGACGAGAATGTTGCAAAGCCAGTTGCAAAGGATGGCATCTCAGAGGGAGAAGTATTAATTCAGATTCATTGTTATTAAGTGTTTTGGCAAGGACCACAATGGAATACTGACAATGTTTTTTAAAAGGCCATTCATCAGATGTGTCTTTTCGTTTTAAATAATGTGACCATCCTTCAGTCTCCTCTTAAGTACTTGACCTGAATGGGTAGTAGTGTGTCTGTTTTCTTTAGCTATGCTACAATTGTTCTCTTTAATAATAATGATTTGGTCATATGTAAAGTCATTGGGCTACAGAAACATGGTTAACGAAAACCGAGCAAGTTACAAGTTCTGATTTGACGAAGATTTTTGTAACGGCTTGGAATTTTACTTCGCCGCTTTGCACGGAAAAGCAAATAAGGAATTTTCGCTCCTACTGGAGTTGTTTCTAGGCTCCAACAAACCAAAAAGATAATCACTAAAGAAAATGTGGTCAAAGACTTTGTATTTTGGGGGGCAGAGACTTACAGTAAAGGCAAATCTAAGGTTCCTTGAAAGATGATAGCATTTAATAATTCAGTATCCATTCCCAGCAATTTCTCTCCTGACCTGTTAAGATTCTTCCTTGAAGTATATGTGGTGGAAAATGCTCAGCCTAATGTGACTAGAAATCACAAAAGCAATGTTAACTTGAGTAACACCTAAAGAAGCCTCTCTTCCATCTTTCAAGAGTCCTTTTCATATTATTCATTCCTTAAGTCCTTTCTAAGCCGACACAACAAAGAAATGAGCTAAAGTAGACTGTGGAAATAGGCTAAAAAGGGACCGTATTTTGAAATTCGATGTTTACTGTAGATCTCTGCTTGGTTTCCCTATTTTAAAAACATGGAAGAACGAACATTTAGCACATCGGGCAGTATTTTATATTATTATTGTCTTGTTATGTGGGAAGAATATAGAGACTTAAATGCTGACAAAAACAAGCCCGTTTCCCTTGCTCTATGGACATGAGTCGTACACTGAGGGCACAGCCAGGATATTTCTTCAATTCAACGTCCTTTCATTTAGATTAATCAGATCTCTCTTAACCCCAGTTTGATAAAACCAGCTTCCTGCATTGTTTATTGGGCACCTCTGAACAACATCAGAGTTAAAAGCTTTGTTAGAATTGGAGAAAGTGCCAATGAGAGATGCATTCGGTTACCAAACACAGCTTTCAGGGAGTCCAGTTGGGTTTTCTGACCAAAACAGGCCCCTAAATCTTAATGAAGTCAACCACTTTTGAAACACAAAGAGGTATCTCGATATTTCAATGGCAAGATCTGTTCTTTTAGCATTCTCAAATAATGGCAATAAGAAGGGATTAATTGCCTTCTTTCCCTATAGTTTCCAAAAAAAACCTGTCCCCACCTCCTCAGATCCACTAAGGGGTATCTTCAATGACCTCATAGAAAACAAAGGATGAAATTTCTGGTTGCGAGAATCTAGATGACGTAACATACGTAATTTAACAGGGTTTGCATCCAACATATTTTAGGAGATCAGTTTTTAAAGGGTCAGCAACCATTTGAGGGAGGCGATATATCATTGTCTGAATTGAACTTTTTGCTTCGACGATTATGAAGTAGGAAGGCAAAATACTATAAGAATTTTGTTGAGTACTAAGACCACAAACTTTGTTTTGCTTTTCGTTTAAAGGTGATTGCAGATTTGAGTGCATTAATGTGCGGTTGAACCTGAGTGTACATTTGCCACAAGCTGATATGTATGTTCTAAACCTGGATCTATCTTTTTACTCTGGATATTTTCTGCCTTTTAGTCTTTTACTTCCCTCTCCTTCCCGTCCAGTTTATTGTTTTCGGCTGACATAACGCAGGGCTCCCCAACCTTTCGGGATATTGGGAGAAATTATTGCGGAGATCGCGAAATACTCATTTCCCAGGAGAAAACCTAGTGACGTTCAGACAGAACAGCTGAAACACCTGTACACATCCCAAAACAAATAAAACACAGACAAAAAATGGGCAGTGCTTTCCCCCTGAGGAAGAAAAAAGCATCAACAGCAGGCAAAAAACAACAACTCCTAAATATAAAAATAAAAATTTGGAGAGACATAGAGCTTTGGCATGAGCCAAGGATGGTGTCAGGGTGCTGTGGTGCCCATGGGCACCACATTGGAGAGACCACATAGAAAGTGTTAGCTCCTACACCTTGCATTTTTCACCAGATATTAAGAAGTGGGTTGCAAAGAGCTGGATTTCAAATCTGGACCACGCCAGAGAGCCCCTTGCAACTCCCCCTGCAGGATAAATACATTCGGGAAGAGCTTAGACAGTAAATTAACCACATGCGTGTCGGCTCAGAAGTAAGCTCCATTGAGTTCAATGGGACTTATTTCCAGGTAAGCGTGTATAGAATTGCAGCCTAATACAACCTCCAAACAATGCGATAGAGGCAGATTCTATAGCCTGAAACATACCCATTCAAGCCCCTTCACGGTTTGGCGGTTTAACAAACACTGAGCAACGCTATCTGAAAGGACACAAATGCTTGCAAGTATTTAAATAAATTACTTAGCTCTTTTTCAGCAATGAGGTGGAAGCTGTAGATCAGCAGCAAGCCACAGACTTTTAAACCCTGGAAGTTGGGAGAGTCGCAATCCACTTCTACCTTTTCAAATGCTTATACCTCATTGTTTCAAACAACCAGACAAACGCCTCCCTAATTCTCCAGTCTAACCAGCAATCTAAAAAAGAAATAATGTAATTAGGAATGCAGTCCTGGATATGGGGCCAAATTTAGTATCCAGTTTATTCCAGCTGCAAAGTCTGAAATTTACGGTGCAGGTGGTACCTCTCTAGAGGAACTATTTAGGGGTGTGGTTCTGGGAAACAAGGATGGAGTGGCAGTAATACGGGGAAAATAGAAAAGAGCAGGAATGTTTGCACAGTTTCCAACTTGCCTGGAATTCTGGGGATGAGGCAAGGATTGTGCTGGGGGAGGGATAGACAGTAATGCAAAATGCAAGTAACATGGGCAAGAAAGATATTTAGCTTCACCCTCTAATACGAACTGCCTGCATGTACAGTATATCCCTGCTATGAGGAAACGATTTATCTCGCTAACTTTCTACCTGCTGCTTTGTCGTTTCTGCTTGTCCTAATTGGCTTCCGTTAACACATCTGATGTGTTAGCTGCTGCGTATTTCATCATTCAATTGCCATTAAGCGGTATTGTTGGCAAACAGACTAGGCAGAGTCAGTGCAATCCAGTGGAGGTTTTCCGCATCCTTCCACTGACGTGAATCGAATGGTGTGTCCCGATCTGTAAAAACGGGAGAGAGCTGTTGCAAGGGCTATAGCTTCAGGCAGTTAGTCGGGAAGGGCAAGTGGTGTTTGCGGATTAACCGTGCTCCGTAGATGCGAAGAGCAGTCGTCGCAGGAAGATCAGCTTTGCAAAAAAGAAGAATCTCTATCCAAAACAGAGCTCCCAGTTCCTGGGCAAGACCGTTCAGACGGCGCTATCGTTCTGCGATGAATGTGTGGAATTCTGTGACCACACCCAGCCCAAATCATTTATTTATGTATTAGATTTATTCTATTTATAACTCCGTCATTAGATGTCAGGGCGGTTCACAGAATAAAATCATCAATAAAGTAGGCTGGGGGTGGGGGAATGTTATTGCCACTGCTCAAGGTGCATGCTCCTCCAAACAATTTGGAAACATATTTCTAGGAGTTGTTGTCTTAAAAAGAAAAGAAAAGGGAGATTTGACTTACAGTGCCATGGAGCAAAAAAGGGTAGCAAGGCATGTGAATTCAGCCCAAGGATGAGTGCAAAAATGTGTAGACACAGCCGAAGGTGCGACCTGCAAACAGGAGGATATACTGTACCAATGTTCTCTATGAACCTAGGCCATGTCTGGGTCAAACAGGGGTCAGAGGTCAAAGCCTTCTCCTGGAGGCAGAAGGTGACAATGCCAGGGTCAGGAAGCAGAGGCAAAACAAGACGCAAATTATAAGCCGGAGACCACAGAAGGTTTACTTAAACCAGTGCACACTCAATGACTTTGTTCTCATCCACGTCAATAACATTCAAACTTGTGCACAAATAGCACATATAACCTGAACACGCACACATGTGCGTACACACACACACACACACCAGGGCTTTCAGCCTGTTGCATAGGACTAAGCTTGAAACTAAATACAGCGGGACCTTGTGTTACGTACAGTGGTACCTCGGGATGCAAACGGGATCCGTTCCGAACCTAACCCGTGTCCACGCGTCTGTGCGTGCGTGGGTCACGTTTTGGGGCTTCTGCGCGTGCGCGTGACGTCATTTTGAGCGTCTGCGCATGCCCGCAGCAAAACGCAGAAGTAACACGCTCCGTTACTTCCGGGTCGCCTCAGAACACAACCCGAAAATATTCATCCCGAAGCGCATTTATCCCAAGGTACGACTGTACTGTCCTCCTTACAAATTCGGGTTATGAGTTCCGCTGACGCGGGTGGCGCTGTGGATTAAACCACAGAGCCTAGGACTTGCCGATCACAAGGTCGGTGGTTCGAATCCCCGCGACGGGGTGAGCTCCCGTTGCTCGGTCCCTGCTCCTGCCAACCTAGCAGTTTGAAAGCACGTCAAATTGCAAGTAGATAAATAGGTAACGCTCCGGCGGGAAGGTAAACGGCGTTTCCGTGCGCTGCTCTGGTTCGCCAGAAGCGGCTTAGTCATGCTGGCCAC